TAGCTTGCTCTTTGCATCCCACATACGCCACGCTAATTCCACTTCAGATCACTGAAACTGAGTGTTCTGAAGTCGAGTAGGTTGCAGATTGCAATATTAACACCAGGATTTCGAAAGGAATACAGTGCTGCAGTGCTTCCCCCCCCCCTTCTCTATGGTCCATCAAATTACTTACAGCAAAAGGGCAAATTATAAAAGATTTCCCCATAGGATAGGAGAGCAAGAAAATGCACATGAAATTCCTTGTGAGGGAGCTGTGACTGCAAGGGATTGATTTTTTAAAAAAACCAGCCTTTGTTCTGAACAGCATTTAACACAGCTGGTACACATCCTTTGAAAAGTATTCAGCAGTGGCAACCATTTCCTAACCTTGAAAGATTATTGAAAGGTGCCACAGGGCTTCTAATCTCCATGGCAGTTAAACATGACGGGTTTAACACAACCCAGTCTTCTCCATCCTTTTCTTTTTAACTGTACTAGAGCTGATCTCTGAGAAGAGAGCTGTATCTGTGGCTCAGACCACAGACCAGAACAAGCTGACCTTATTTTCAACTAAAAATATTCATGCTTAATCTCAGCGCAGGTGGCTCCCATTCTGTTTTGGTAGGGCTGTGCTGACTTATCACAAGGAGAGACAGTGAAATGTTGATTGTCTCTTATGATACAATAGCATTTATTGCATACAGACCAAGGCCACTACCTTCAGTCACAAAGAAGATAAACCATAAATAACATCATTAAAATAACCAAAACTAAAAGTACTTATGTTAAAAACATTAAACCCTTCAGATACTTTTTGCTTGTATTTTCTCGGCTGCCAAGGGAAATGACAACACTCTGCACGAAACGAGTAAGTCAGTGTCTGTGTGAAAAAAAATGACCTTCTCTGCTTCTGAGGAGGAGTTTCAGCCCTTCAAGAACACTGCAAGAAATTTGGTTCTAGGCTCTGTGTAAAGAAGGCAAAATGGATTATAGTGTGATTTCAGGTCTGGTCTACCTGTGCAGGAGAACATGGCGGTAGATTGAGCGGTACCACTTCAGAATGCAAGTGGGGAGGGTTGGGATTTTTCACGCTTGCCCCCACGTAAAGACTCAGCATAATTAGCACATCAAGGAGAGCAGTTCTAGTATAGGTTGTTTAAAATTATTATTATTCTAAGGCATCCTGAGTGTCTTTAAAGTAGAAAGGTCCTTAACGTGCTGCATTAGTGCTCCACTTGCAGGGAGTTAGTTAATATAGGGGAACACTGAAAAACATATGCGCTCACCTGCACTCTGAAGTGGTGGTGGTGGAGGAACGTGCTGTCAAGTCACAGCTGGCTTATGGTGTCCTCATAGGGATTTCAGGAAAGGGCACTTTATTATTATTATTTATATTTATGAATCACTCCACCCCTGCTATTGCAGGGCTCTGGGCGATGTACAACCCAAAATAAAACAAGATAAAATTAAAACCTTAATACAATTTTCAAAACAAACAGATGGCGAATAACCAATCCTTCCAACTCCCACTGCCGGCTACTTCGTGGATGGGGGGAGGAGGGCAAAATAGATGTAGACAACAAGGAACAGGAAGGGTGCCAGCCAAGATGGGACCGTCGCTGTCCTCAACCAAAAGCCTGGCAGAACATCTCTGCCTTGCAGGCCCTGCGGAATTGATCCCGCAGGGCCCTGATGGAATTTGGCAGAGAGTTCCACCAGGTCGGGGCCAGGACCAAAAAGGCCCTGGTTGAGGACAGCTGGATGTCTAGGGCCGGGGATCACCAGTAGATTGCTGTCTAAGGAGCGCAAAGCTCTCCTGGGGATATAACAGAGGAGACGGTCCCATAGATACGTCAGTCCCTGGCCGCTCAAGGCTTATAGGTCAATACCAAAACCTTGAACTTGACTTGGTATTCCACTGGGAGCCAGTGTAGCTGGTGCAACACTGGATGTATATGCGCCATCCATGATGTTCCTGTCAGGACTTGTGCCACCACATTCTGGACCAGTTGGAGCTTCCAGGTCAATCTCAAGGGAAGGCCAGCCATGGCCAGATCAGGGCGCAACAGGAAAGGGGCCAGTTGCTGAGCTTGGCGTAGATGAAAAAACGTTAGCTTGGCAGTCTGAGCAACCTGGGCCTCCATACTCAAGGAGGGGTCAAAAATCACTCCCAAGCTCTTGACGGATTCTGCCAGTGTCAAAGGCGCTCCATCAAGAGCTGGTAATCTTTGCCCCAAGCCTGAAGGCCCACCCCCCAGCCACAGAACCTCCGTCTTTGTTGGATTCAGTTTCAGCCTACTCTGTTTCAACCACCCAACCACAGCCTCCAAATCAACGGCCAGATTATCAGAGGTGGTTTGCCATTGGCTGTCTCTGCATAGCACCCTAATATTCCTTGGTCTCCCACCCAAATACTGACCAGTGCCGACTGCGTAGCTTTTGAGATCTGAAGAGCTCAGACTAGCCTTGGACCATCCAGGTCAGGGCAGACACTCTTAAATAGTCCAGCCCATTGTATCACCCAAGCACCACCTTATTCTTCACCATGTTGTACAGCACATCATTAATTCCCCTATTTTTAACCACACTTATAGCCCACCTTGCTCTCTGAGACTCAAAGCAGATTACGAAATATGAAAAGCAATTCAGTCAGGCAGCAAAGACCTCCAGCTAACAATGTGGTAGGACTAGGATTGTAGAACTGGAAACAATGCAAACAAAACCCAGCCTATAACATGATGTGCAATAATTACAGTATAAAGAGAGGTGATATGTGCAATAGACTAGGTTACTGTCCCTTGTAGAAATGGCCGCCTGCGCTGTTCCATTATGTTACCGTTCTGATATTAGTTTTGCACACTCTGTGAAAACATTACCTCAGGCGGACAGTTCCCTAAAGCGGGAGTCCCCACAGAAGAATGTGTGGGGTACTTCTGTGTCTCATATTTTACAGGCTTTCAGCCTCTCCAGTCTCAGATTTCACCATCAGCCTGCATGTACAGAATCCTCCCCTTGCATGGATGTGCCATTAACACCCCACACTGCAAAGGTCTTGCACCTTTCCACTTCACCATGTATAAGAAGCAATTGGTGGTTTTTTCCAACCAGTAGGGTGTGATGGCTACACTAAGAGAAGAAAGTAGTCAGAATCAAAGTTGTAGTCTTACAGGTAGCCTTTTTTTAAAAAAAACAACCCTGGGGCTTTGTTTTTCAGTGAGAAGTAAACCACTTTTCCCAGCTGCATGTACTTGTACTGTAAGGCAGTGGAAATAAGTAGGTCTGGTAAGCTATTTTCCTTAGTGGGCAGTTTCTCTGGGGAGTGGCTCATTGTACCTACTGATTATTTTCATCCCTAGTTTCGTTAGCATCACATATGCTTGCTGCAGCATTCCAGCTAAGTATACTCACCTCCTCCCATTAGCATTTCGCCTAAAGCAGCAAAGTTGATTTTGTGCTTGAGAACATGTGCAGTTCAGCACCTCACCGCACATACAGTGATTGTTACATGGAGGTGTAAACATGATGTGTTCCAGTTATGTTACTAAAACGTTAGCCGTGCTTCTGTTTCAAGAGGAGATTCTTTCTCCACATGCATGAGCCAAGCTGCAGGAAAGTTGAGCTGTGTTGTGAAGGGGTATGGGGGGGGGGGAGAGAACTTGGCCAGAGCCTCTGACGCTGTTCACCGTGGGTGGGGTATGGGTCTAGAGTCCTTTACTTATATGGGTCAGCGGGCAGAGCCCAGAGAATGGCCCCTGTAAAATATTACTTTCTAGGCTACTCGAGAATCCCTCAATCTCCATTCAAGTGCTACTGCTTGGTGTTGGTGACCAGCCCATAAAACAAGTGTTGCATTCAGTGCCGTGTCTGCGATACAAAAGCAAAACTCAAGCCTGCCTTTAGTTAGGGAAAAGTCTAATTATTTTACCCAGAGTTGTACCTCACTTGAGCAGAGTATCTTTTGTGTTGCACCATTCATTGCTGAGGCAAAGCATCTCTCTCATGGTTCCGCTAAGACTTTTGAACAATTAGAACTGAGACCTTTGTGTGCCAGTCCAATGTCTTGTACAAACAAAGAGAGACTCAAATCAGACTGAAAGGTGATGAGCCTCCAGGGTAGGACTTCTTCCCTGTTTGCTGCTCTCTGAAGCCAAGCAGAACTTCATACTGTGTTTACACTCGATTCAAGCTGAATATCAGTGTGGGGTAGTGGCAGCACTGTAAAAATCCTGATATTAAAATAATTAACCGTCCCCAGTCTAAAAAGCTGGCCATCCATTGACCTGCTCACACCAACACACCAAAGCAAACTTGATTACAAATGGAAAACAAAAGTCCTTAATTGGCTCAAATCCCTTGTTTCAAAGTCCTTGAAGAGCCATTAAGTAGTGGCCTGTGTGTAGCTGTTGTTTATCTTTTTCCTTCTCACTGTAACCGGTGAAATGAAGCCATGTCTGCTGGATAAGTGGCCTCTGTATGTCAAAGCTTATAATTGACTGGACTGTTTGGTTTACCCTAAGATACCATCTACAAATAGTAAAGATGTTGCTCTGTCTGCTTCTTTGTGGATGGCAGTAAAGCTCAGGACCTGCGATCGATATGCAAGTTGTTCTTTGCCCCTCTTAGCTGTCTTACTTCCTAGATATTTTCCCACCACACTGCAACTGCAATTTTTAAGAAACTGCTGGTGCTCCATCCTTGCAGCCCCATGTCCAGATCACTCACTGCTGCTTCCCTCCTTTCACAAGCTAACAGTGGCCAGAAATCTCGTCTTGAAGCATTGTGGCTGTTTGAATCAGCCCGTAAGTGTCTGGCTAGTGCTGGGAGGGCCTGTTTCACTGGTGCTCCAAGTGGATAGATCAGCTAAGTACATTTTCATGCAGTTTATGGTATAAACTGCCTGGGAACTGAGTTCAACTCAAGCGCTACAGTTTGCCCCTCCCCGCTAGGCTAAAACGTGATTTCTTTCTCTTTGAATGAGAGAAAGTGTAAAGATCCTCAGGGTTATTCTCTTTTTTCAGTGCAGTTAATGTGGGGACTGATATGTTGGAACTTGACTGCCACTTGACGAAGGATGAACAAGTCGTGGTGTCTCATGACGAGAATCTGAAACGATCAACAGGACTAGATGTCAACATATCTGATCTCAAGTACTCGGTAAGTTAATGCGAACTCTCTCCTCCTCCCACCTGCAGTCCACAAAGGCTTCAAAAACAGCTAACTTATTCACTCCTCACATGTGTATTCCCAACAATAAGAATTATAAATCTTGTGTATTTTAGTGTATTTCTTTTTCAGATAATATATTAGAATACTGAATGTAATGCAAGGAATATTGGGATGTTTTGCTGACATGACACTGCATCCACCTCATAAAGTGCTGTTAAGTGATCTCCACACCTGGGATGTTATCGGTTTGCTTCCCAGAGTTAGAAAAGACACCTTTAGACATTTATCTGCTATTTTGACATATTTATTGCTTTACAACTTTTGACCTTATAACCTTAGTTTGTTATTTAGTTCTGACTTTGCATAGCTT